AGATCAGAGCCCCATCCTGTTTAGGATCCCAGCTCTCCACACTTCCAACTCAAGGACTTTCCCAGTTCTCTGCAGGCAGATTTTTATTTCCCTTTTTTTTGTTGTTGTTGATGGTTTGTCTTTTCCTGATGAGCAAAGCCTGAAGTTAAGCTTTCTGCTACAAAAACATGCTTCGTTTCCCACTTCCCAGCCGACTTTGTTTGTGAGCGGGTCTCGGTGGTAGTGGAGGGGCAGGTACCAGTGTTTGCCCGCAGCAGACGTCTGTCCCTGCGCTCCTTATCGGGGTGCTACGCCCTGGGCTTAGTTGCTGGAAACTAGAATAACTAGTCTGTGGAACCTGGGTCCTGGGGAACTTCCACTCCACCAAACTGCAACATAAATCTCCTTGCAGTGTATACGGAAATTACCTGACTTTATGTAAAGTTACATAACAGTAATTCAGCTTTCTGTTTCTTCACAAATTCATGTTTTAAAATGCAACCAAAAATATTTCTGTGATAAAATGCAAAGGTTTCCCCTTCAGGTATTGCCCGAACCTGTGTGTTTGCAGGCAGGAAGCAACTTTCTCTTCGAGATTCTGTCCCTTTGAGAAAATGATTTTGTGCAATAAAGGGAAAGTAATATTGTTTAGTTCAGGAGAGCCAAACAGAGCCAAAATGTTTAGCCTTGCATATGAAACTTTCTTGAAAGCTTTTCTGCAATCAGCTCACATCATTCCTGCACCTCTTCTGATGCCTGATCATGTCACGAATCTGAATTCATGAATCTGTCTGATCATGTAATGGAGCAACTTTTTACTGTGCTGAGCGGCATAGGCCCATATCTGAGTAGGGAAGTGTTTAAGCAGCACAAATTAGGATCGGACTACCTGGATGAGCAAGACATAACCATAAGACTTGAAAGTCATGCCTGAAGTACTTTGGTAGGTGACATTCGGTTACTTCAGAGGGCAACCTCACTTTCTGCCATTGCAGCAAAAACCAGGAGTAGCTGTGGAAGCCTTAATGTTAAAGGTGCTGAGAACGCACCCAGGAAACAATTCAAACATGTATTGAAAACATGATAGAAGTAGAGAGATACCAATATATTGACTGTAATATATTTATTGACTTTATAATCTCACATAGCTATGTTCCGTGCATTAATAAATATGTTTCAGTAAATGCAGTATGCTATGCATGCCAGTGAACTAAGTTTCCCCTGGTAGAGCTTTGGCAAACAGTGGTGCTAGCGCCACAACTCTGAAATTCACACTGATGGTTGAGCTGGCTCTTTATTTTACCCATCTCTAAACTTCACTTGAACAGTATGCAAGCTTATTACTTGGATTCATGAAATACATCTTAAAGATATTTTGAGATGTAAACGATATCACAACAGTGAAGCCTACATATTTTGGAGGAACATTCAGAAGAATTTATAAACTGATAAAGTGTAGCACAAGAACGCTTTGTGTTTATACAGTATCATTGCCGCGTTTATCTAAATTCTTCTAGATGTTTTGCAAGACAATGTAACAGTTGTATCATTTAACCACTAGATGTAAATAAATTTACCACAAACTGTGAAAACGAAATGACCTCTACAAACTGTTAACCAGACTTAAGGATGTTTTGGGAATCAGTGCAAAGAGGAAATCTTGTCCTTTATTAAAGAAATTATTTCGATACTCTACATTCAACAAAAACTTCAGGAGACTGGAAAAAATGTGAGTTTTGGTGGCGATGGTGGTAGTGGTGGTTTTGGCAGTTTTGTCTGTGTAGAACATGCAGTGCTTATTTATGCTTCACAAATTATCCTCACGCTAAAATGAAAGTAAGGTGCTTTTAGTAGTGCTGCCGAGGGGCAACTTAGGAAAATTGAGGAATTTAAAATAGTAAATTGCATTTTTTTTCCTCTGCGCTTCTTCCATTCACAACAGATTTGTGGGAGTTGGCAAAAGTCATTCTCATGTAAATTCCTTCGCCTTTTGCAATGAGCTTTAAGGGATGATAAGCCCTAATAGAAGTTTAACATTTCGGCTGTACAAATGTTGATGGGACATAAATGGTTCTATAGAATAAACGTGATAAATATATTTTTTTCCAAAACAGAAGCTGCTGCAAAGAGCATAGGATAAAATTCATTTTCAAAGAGAAGATCAGCACAAGGTCACACAAATCTCATGTAAGCCTGAATATCTGGCCAAGTGCCATGAAATTTAAGTATCCAAATTGTTTCTGAAAATCACATATGCAGCTCCACATTTGTGTCACATAAATAATTTAAACTTTTGGCTCAAGCTAGGAACATCAAGACCTAATTCTGCATAAACCCTTGGTAAATACTCATCCAAGCTGAAAGAAGCAAATAATGGAATCTATTTGCATTAAAGTATGAATAAAAAAGATGTTTAAGTGAATTTAAACGGACCTGCAGAAGACAGTTTATCTTGCTGGGGAGCCAGGGAGCAGGGCTGGCATCAAAATCCTGCCTGCTCCCTTGTCCTCCTGCATGTGCCTCCTATTTTACTCTGTTTTGTTTTTGCGAACAGTTGTAGTTGTCTGTTCTGTGCCTTGTGCACAGATCTTTAGATTTTCATTAAACCAAAATGTAAAAGAAAAAAAATGTATGAAGTGAAAAGTTCAAGCAGTACTGGCAGATGTGTGTATGCGCACACATGAATGCAAATCTGCCACACCAAGAAAAACATGCAATGCTGCCATGGTGACCTTTTGGCTTCTAGACATTCAAGTCCTGAGGTTTATTTTATGTGTTAACACAGTGTTAACTGCCTTCTCAAAACTCACGTCACCTTCATTTGCACAGAAAACTGGGACAAGACTGAGGACGCTGTTGCTGCGCGGTTACGTGGCCTAGGCGGGGATTCCGTGACAAATCCTGTTAACTGAAGCTAATGAACTTTCTGCCCTCTCTGCCTTTTCAGGCTGCTGTTTTCTCTCCCAGGTACTAACACAAATACGCATGACTCAAAACTGAGAATGCGAGAGGTGATGATTTGTTTTGTTCAGGTTTCTTTTAGGAGGAGGAAAGGATTTTTCTTTAAGGCCACATTTAATATTTATGTTATGAGTATGTGCCAAATCAGGCAAGAGCAAAGAAACGTTGGCACTTGGAGCAACAGCTAGTGGCATTTTGCGTTCATGCAAACCCCAGGTGAGGTCCATTTCTGACAGGGGCCCCTTTCTAGCTCTCCTCTTGCTCCTTGCTCTCCTCTTGTTCCTTCTGACTATACTCTACTGTTTTCAGAAAGCACTTAATATAAAAACTTTATACTTTATTAAAAATCCTTACTCACTCAATGCAAATGAAATGGTATAATGAGGGTAAAGTCCTAGAACTAAGCAGGTCTTATGAACTGTTTAAATAAAACATTCCACTTGAGATATTCAAGTGATTTTCTGGCAGATGCAAAATCAGTAACTGGATTCTGTTCCTGTAAGTCAGATAATCATCATGGGGTTTTTTTTGGTTACAAAAAGGCAGGCATTTGTGATGTGTACTCTTGCTCAGAGGCTTTGTAGATGTCATAAAGCAGATTTCTACTGGTGAACAGGCAGCTATAGATATGTGAGGAAAAAGTGTATTTTTTAGATTTTTCTCAATTAAAAATAAATTTTTGCTAACTATTTTTTGCTATAGAACAAGTATATGTATATACCTTAAAGTATATAGAGGTATGAGCAAAGACATCTCAACTCCAGTTTAACTTTGCTCCTCCATAGTCAAGGTCATCTACAGAGAACACTTCTTGGGGTCCAGCAGCTTCCTATTCATGCAGAGTATCCTAGTTTTGCTAGGTTCTCCCAGATCATTTCCTCGGAGTGTGGCCACTCTGCAGACTTGAGCGTAGAGCCAGCTCACCTTAAATGAGCCCCTCCAGGCCTAGCGTAAGCACTTGGAGTTGCTGTCGTCCAAGTTACCCTGCTGTTTGGTGAGAAATTTTAACTTGTTCCAAACCTGGTGTAGCTGGAGCTGATTTGCTTCCATTACCTGAGCTAACCCCTCCAGGTGTCACTTAGCTACCAAGGTGGGCACACAGCAGGTCTCCCTGAGTAGCAAGGTCCCCTTTGTTTGGCATTTTAATGTGAGGCAACTACTGTTTTCAAGTGAATCACAAGGTTGATTAAAAGGCACAGAGGACGAGCAAACTTAAAAGCCCATAAAGTTTTCAGTCAATTTTATTGCAAGGTTCAGTCCTGCATGGGATCAATAACAGGTTATTTCACCACAGATCAAGATGGCTCTTGATACTGGCCCAGTGCTAAGGGTCAAATCTGTTGGTTCAGATATCCTCATTTGCTCATATCCTCATGAGCAAGTCACTCTAGGGTCCTGTTATTGTCATGGGAGCAGGGTTGCTTTATCAGGCCTGATTTGGACATCCATGTTGGAGCGAGCTAAGCTTGAAACATCAGCTTCCCTCCACAACCCCAAGGCACTAGCTCATCCATCTGCATGGGAGATTTCTACTTTTGATCAGGTGAATCCCACCCTCGGTGTCTGTGCTGTGACCCTTCAGTCTGAGGTAAGTCCCTCTCAGTGCAGAGAGGGCGCCCATGTCTGTCCTCACCTCAGAAAAGGTCTCAGAGCCCGCCTCAGCGTAGTAAGGGAGAAATCAGATGCTCCTGTGGCTCCTTAGCAGACCAGTGTATACTCTTCTGGAGCCAGGCTCCCTGTTTGCTTTTTGTTCATTAGTCATGTTGTGTATCTTGAAGGAGAGGCTGGTTTCCACTGGTGAGCAACTGGCTATGCCAGCCACACCAAACTGATAAAGCCTGAATTTGGAGTAGATATCATTACAAAGGCATGTAGTGTCATGTGACAAAGAAAGAGAGGTGCTCAGATACGGGTATTTGCTAGTTGATAACGGTCCCTCTCGCGTGTGACCATTGGATGCGAGAGCTGCATAAAGCACCTCCGAGGAAGGCCGTTCTCCATTCCCCCAAAGAGACCTGAGGCCATTCACGCGAAGGAGCCAGGCAGCCTCCAGCAGCAGCATGTCCCAGCTGGAAACCGCAATGGCAATGACCATTGCAGTCTTTGACAAGTATGCAAAGATGCAAGGCAACACACGGACCCTCACCAAAGCCGAGCTAAAGACCCTCATGGAAAAAGAGCTACCCAATTTCCTCTCGGTAAGATAACTGTTCAGCCTCATCTCCGTATATACAAACAGCGAGAGCTATAGGTAGACAGGGCTGTTCGTTAGTGCATTATAGAGGGAACTCCATCTCCAAATCCACAGCGGCTGGCAGGAACTTTTAAGGGCAGCATTTGAATAAGAAAAGCCTTTGCTCATACCATGTTAAATTGATCCTAATACTCAGGGCCATTCCCAGTCTACCAAATTCATCACTCAAGTTATGGGGACAAAGGCTTTGAATTAGATTATTTTTCATTCTCAGAATTCATCTATTTCTGTTTATTCCTGGATTTATAATCTTAGATGATGTTGCAATTGCTGGGAAGGTGGTTATGTTGTCAGCAATTGAGGATCTTGACTGCAGATGGGAAATCTCTCTAAATATTTACGTATTTAGACTCTCTAAGCATTTATATTAGATGTTCAGTATGCATGCCAAAATGATACATAAACAAGAATAAGAGCGGTAGCAATTATCTTTAAACATAAAAGATCTGAAAAATGATTTCATATAATAGATTTATATAGATGTACATTTAAACAGTTTAAATATTTGTACCTAAAACCTCTTAATATATTACAGTAAGAGATTTAGTTACCTGGGAGACAAAATGCCTTTCATTTTCAATTTTTTTTTATTTGCTTCTCTTCACTAAAAAAAAAGAAAATGCCGTAAGAGACTCTTTTTCTTTCTACACAGGAGTAATGTTTCTTTCTCTAGATGTAAAATGATTCTTCTTAATTGCAGAAGTCTAGGAGCGAATGTTCCAAATACAGATACCACTTTATGTATCCAGAATAACTGAATTTTCTAACTACATTAGAGCACTACAGCAAAGGTAGCTCATACAATTTAGTATCTTTCCATGTAAGCACTGGAGCTCACTGTACAAAGTCTAGGACTGTTGGATTTATGACTCACAAATTAAATACAGATGCAATATTCAGGATAAGAATTTAGATGGCTCTGTGCAGTTATATAAACATGTCTATGAAAATATTTTAGAAAATAGATCAGTGGTTGTGACTGTGACTGTGTGAAGTAACATGGTATGTGTCCTGCTCCCGGACATATTGTATTTACAGTATTTTCAAATAAAAAACAACCTCCTTTACCTCTTAAAGAAAAAAAAAGAGTATAAGGGTGCATGGAAAGCCTCAAAAAAATTCTAAAAACTTTGGTACTTTTTAGATATTTGGACTGAAAAACATTGCGGTATCATCACTGCACTAGATGGCTACCAGATGGCATAGCTCTCAAAGGTCATTCCTGACTACATTTGCTGGTTGGGCACCACTTCTTCAGTTCCACATAACTGAATTTATTGCTTCTATTTATTTCCTGAAATTGCTGGAAAGTACTGGAATTTTCCAGGGAGATAATTAGCTAAATTTCCTTTTATGTTCTCATATCTGCCTCGCTCTTGCCTCTCTTTCCCATTCTACATTTTCTAGAGAAAAAATAACATGAAATAATGTTTTGTGTGGGTAGTTAAAATAAATCTTAACGAAGAAATTCCTGTCTTGTAGGCCAATAACTGTATGCAGAGAATAACTGAGAACATAAGTCCAAACTTATTTACAGACATTTATAAATATATATATATATTTTATATATATATATATATATATATATATATTTGGCAAGAAAATTCTGAGAAACAGCATCCCCGGATGCTCATCTATATTTCTGGCCATAGAAATAGTTACACCTGCAAAGGGCAAATGGCCTGGGAAGTGCTTTAGGAGCTTCAATCAGAAGCTGAATCCCGCAGTGCACAGTGAGGAGGAAAAGTAAATCCACACGTTGGACTGAATTTCTGGAATAAGCTACAAAGCGTTTACAGAAAATAAGTTCCAGGCTCCATTTCAGAAGCCATTCAGAAGCTAAAAGTAGTTCATATACGTGACTAGATGATTTAAAATAGGAACTTGCCAAGAGAAGAGGAACGGGCCCTTTCTTATATATTTGTTAATCACATCTAGGCAATTGGTCCAATTTTTAGGGATTTTAAAGACACATCTTCCCCCTGCCCCTCTGAAGTGAAGTATGAAATCGCAGAACACTGAAATTCAGTTAGCTAGGCTGTAAGCAAGCAAAGCCTTTGCATTTCAGCTAAGGGAGTCATTACTTCAGATCCCTGGAATATTTCCAAAAGTTACTTAATTTCTTCCTCCTGGAATAGATTTAATCCTTTCTCTTCCAAGCGGCAGCAGGCCCAGCCGTGCAGCACTTTCCGTGGGCCTCTGCTGCCACCCGCTGCCTGTTAATAAAACTTCCATATTCCCAATCCCCCGGGTGGATGGGGTGGCTGGCAACCACACCGGTCTCAGGCTCACTGGGCGGCCATGGCTTCTCTCCCGCAGGCAGGGAAGGACAAGGACAACCTGGACAAGATCTTCAAGGACCTGGATAACAACGGCGACTCCCAGGTGGACTTCAAGGAGTTTGTCACCTTCGTGGCTGCCCTCACCTGCTGCTGCCACAACTACTTCGAGCAGAAAGGGGCCCGATAGTGGCGCTGGCAGCTCCCCGAGCTGGCCTTGCCCCCACCTGTGTGCTGGGCAAGCCAAACAAACCAGTCCCTGTCCCTGAGGCTCCTGTCTGTGTCTCTGTGGTAAAAAAATGCTCTTGACAGGTCCCACTGACCTGTACTGGTTTGTCTGTCATTTTCCACCATGCAGGGGACTCTCTTTGTAGCATGACGGGCTCACAAACGTTCTACTCTGATAGCACTCCTGCCAGGGAGCTGGGGATGTGGTTGGGATGGTGCACTATACCCATGGTCTTCAAAATAAATTAAAAGCAACACCTCGCCCCGAGTGCCGTCACCTAAGACTTTCTGTGCGCCCGCAGTTCCGGCCAGGAGCCCGGCGAGTCCCGTGTGCCAGAGGCCTTCGCATGAGGCACCACGTCTGCCTCAGGGCCACGGGATGTCACATGGCAGAGGCCAGATCAAGGCCACAGCACTGAGTTTTGGCTGCAAAAGTGTTTCTCCTTCCCTGTTGAACCCTGGAGCAATGAGGCAACTGCTGGTACCCGCCACCAGCCCAAAGCCTCCACTTTGCTTCGTGAGTCTGTAGTTATGCAACAGGCTTGACCACCCATAGCCATGTCTGCGTATGTGGGGATGGTATATCTGTATGCATTTAAGTATATTCATCCTTTTGGGAACAAGCTGGGAAACGTTTGGGCCCGTACAATTATTAGGCACAGTGTCCTTGGGAATCCCCACCACAGATTTCTAATAAGGATAAAATCTCTCTTGGTGCCCCATTCCTGTTAGTTTGCAGGCACAACAGTCCCAGGTAGAGGCCACACTGAACGTGCAGGTAAAAACATGTATTCCCCATGCTCGTGCCTCTTCCCTGGCACCTCACCCACAGCAAAGCTGGGGAATCAGAGAACAGATTCCTGGCTTGTGGCAGAGATGCATCAGAAAATAGCTTTAATGGTGACAGTAATCTTTTCCCTGAGCTGTGTGTGCAAAAAAACCAATAGTTATGGCCATGCATAAAATTGAGAAATCCAGAGACCCAAATTAGCCCTCCCATCACAAACTGCTCCTCAATATTTCTGTTGTTTGAGGTTCCTATACAACTCTAAGCCTAAAATGAGACTTTCTGCCACTTTCCTTAATGTAAAGGAAGAACACTATAAATTACAGAGGTAAACTTCATATATTGCATATAGCACTAGTTAGCCATATAAACCATCCCAAGACATCTGCACATGTTTAGGTGTTAGCCATTTAAATTGAACAGTCTGTATTCAACTCTTTGAAATGTGTGAAAATGAATTTTCCTTTTCCAAGGTCAACATCAGTGTCTGAAAGGTTTCCTCTGCCTCCTTTCATGGTATTAAGCCTCATAGAAAAAAAAAAAGCCTTTCTTACCACTATGTGGCACTAAACGCACCCTTTATATTATCTACTTTGTCCAAAATTCTGTTTACTGAAGCACAAATTAATGAATTTATATTCAAGATTCAAAAAAACCCAGAAGTGTCCTTGACACGAGGGCAGCCTCCTCTCTCAGCAAGGCGCCTGTGTCCCATGCAGAGCGTGGCAGGTCGCCCTTCACCATTGCTTCACCCCCTGCAGCGAAAGCTGCGGGAACTGAGCCACCACGCGCCTGTGTCCTCCCCCTTCACAGGACAAGCTTAACTGCAGCACTTCAGCTGGCTAAGTCAAAGTGTTTTCCCTTTCTTTGCGATTGCAAGTTCCTTATAAAATTCTAGTATAGTTCTAAAGAACCCCAAATCTCTTCAGGTGCATCCAGCACCTTTATAAGTCAAAGTGTTTTCCCTTTCTTTGCTATTGCAAGTTCCTTAAAAAATTCTAGTATAGTTCTAAACAACCCCAAGATCTCTTCAGGTGCATCCAGCACCTTTTAAAGAGTGTGGTGGTGAAAGGCTCTTGTTAAACTGGAGGTTCACCCTATTGCTGCATTTTATCTGTTGATTTTTAGGACACGTGGGACACATGCCCCACAGCAGACTGCATGTGATACCCGTCTGCATAACACTGCCGATTGCCCCAAATTCTCCCTTCTTTCCTAAACTCTGCTCATCTCCCGCATCCGCCCGCGTTGCAGCCGTGCTCATCCTCCTCCGCCCCCTTGGATGGCTGGTGCAGCGCAGGCTGCCTCTGCGCCGGTAGCTCATGCAAAGATGTGGGTTCCCCTCTGCACTTGCACTTCTGCTTGCGGCAGCACAAAGCAAAATCCCTTCCAGCACCCCAAAATATGAAACAACCTGGAGCTGAGACCTGAGCTTTCACGTCCCCGGGAGAATACCTGAGGAATCCCTCCTCTCACCCACTGGAGCGGGCAGGGAGCCAGGTGGGATGTTGCCTTCCTCACCATCCTGCAGCCCCTCCTGCAAGTGCTCCTGCCCCTCTTGAGCTCTTGTGGGGAGCCCCAGGAGCACAAAAATCAGCTTTTTGCAGACAAGAGGTGAAACTTTGTATCCCAGGATTTTAGCCAGAGGGGGCCGTGGATGTTCAGCACTGCAGAAAGAGGGGGGAGGAAAGGGGGTTGTGACTTTTTTTTCCCTGCAGATCTTTCAGAAGCTGTAACTCAGCGATGAATATTCATTTCAATGTAGTACTGTAAATTCAATGGATGACACCTCAGAGAGAAAATGATCCAGCAATAAAAGAAATTAACATATAGCTCCCACCTTAGCATGTAACTAAAGCGACTTTTCAGAATATTTAGCCTAAAAGCTTTTTGGTAGAGTCACTTCAGCTCTTTCAATCCCCTAATTTTCTTCTGCAGTATTATTAACTTCCACCATGGGCTCCTGGGGAAACGCTGAACATGCTGGGTTTTTCCTTCCAGGCACGCTTCTGTGGCGCAGTTAGACTGCACAGCTGCTAGGCCTGATTAATACCCACCATTTAATCCTCGCTCCTGGGCCTAAGAGTATTACACAGTATGTGCGAGTTGAAGAAATAGTATAAGTGAACTCTAAAAGAAAGGAAAAGACAACATAAATAGCACCTCAGGAAATATGAGTCAACAGTTGTGGGCAGCACGTGTTCAACCCTATGGTAAGAGAGAATAAAAGACATGGGACAAGATAGTGGCAAATGCAGGTACAAGAAAACATCATCCATGAGGAGATTGAGGCAAACCAAGGCTTCCCAAAGGAAAGTCAACTAAGTAGCAAAGCAGCCAGTAGATATTTTTGTTGTCCTATACAATATATGACTCCTTATTAACATTCAATACCTTCTCAACATTAAGGTATTCCAGTATGACATTACATAAATTAATATAATTTTATATGACTGATAAGGAAAGGTTTCTTGTACCAAGATGATGCTCTTCTGGCATTGAACTCATGCTCATGGTGTGCTTTCCATCTGCAAATGTCCTGAATGCTTTGAAATTTAATTTCTGAACCTGCAGAAATTTTATTCTCTTCAGCAACTTGTTCAAGTTGTCTAGGGTAACAACTTAATTTTTGAAAATGTAAACATTTGCATTTATACTCCTCCTCACTTTTATCAGCCTAATCATAAGCTTCCATATTTTTGTAACACGTATGCACTGCAGGTTGTACTCATTGTTCCACTAGTGCTCATTTGTTGTGTGCTGAAAAATTCAAGTAAAATTTCTTTTTATTACTCCTGTAGTTTCTTTGGAACAGATTCCCTTAAGTAAGTCCTTTAATTCCCACCTCATGTCAAACATCAAACCCTTAATGATGCCACCATCAAATCATGAAAAAATATGCACAAAATGGAGCAGACCAAAAAAAAAAAAACCCTCTTTTAGATCCAGGGAAGCTCATCAACTCTTACAGACATTATTAAATTGCATTTTATTCCAAAGTTGTGTGATTTTGATAGGGCTTTCACTTTGAAGTGTATCAGTTCTCATCTTTGTGAAATGTCTGCCCAATGTCTTGCCTATTTCTCTACTTGCCTACTGACACTCTTTAAATTTGTTTTCATTTGATAAGTAAAAACTGAAAGCTCAATTTCAAATAAAGCTAATTATTTTAACAATTTCCCTTACTATAACATCTGCCTGCTGTAATTGCCATTTTGAACTTTTGGTGGGGTACTGTCAAGGCTCTTTAGCTTTTAAAATAACTTGTTGAACTTTCATTTCCATACCTATATGCAGGAGACAAGAAGCATAACGCCAGCTAACCCTAAAGATGCCAGTGCTCCCTTACCTTGTGGTTTTGCCTGACAAACTTCCTTATCATTTTACTTTCAAGCTCACTAGTGCCATGGGCAAACTCGAAGTCATCCTGAGAAGCTCAGTTTTTATTTCCCCAATATCCTTGTTTGGGGCTCAAACCCAGGTATTTCTCTCCCTGCATGCTCCAAGCATCCCACCTAGCAAGAAGCTCTTGACCTGCTGTGACGAGACCAAGCTCTTTGCAAAATTCACGTGTAGCTGTTTGTTGTTGTAGAAAATTATGGGCAGAGGAGGAGGTGAAGTTTCTGATTTTTTTATGCAATGGTCTCACAGTAGAAAAAAGAGGGCAGAAGAGCTGGGGGACTCAGCAGCAAACTGGAGATCATGAAGCTCAGCCCACCAAGGGCTGGGGACCCTCCTAGGTCAGCTGAGCAGCACTGGCAGTTTTTCCTTTTCCTTTCAGTGAGGTCTTACAAGAAAAAGACATTGCTCAGACATCTGACGTGAGGGTCTAGGCTGCTCTTTTCCAAAAGGGGCCTCGTGGCTGCAGCACAGCGACGTTCAGCTCTCGCCCGGTGTCCTGGGGGATGTCATCCACCGCCCAAGCAGACTCCATGGCCAACGTCCTTGCTGGCTTGGGTGCCTTTCCGAGGTACCTTTCACATGCTCTGGGAGCACAGCGCTGGGGCTTCACACAGGTTTCTGCTCTCAGAGCCACCCACCTGGAAATTAGTCATTTCACCAGCTAATTGACTAGGCTTTTGTACAGCTTTTTCGGGATGTTTGCTTCTCTAGATTTGTTCCACTTTCTTTTTTTTTTTCTTTTCTATTCAATACTTTTTGCTCCCCTATCAACC